TTAATGTCCTTGTTTCCTGTGGGATCCACGCTGAAATCCTTCCTTAGTCCTTTTTCTCTCTGTATGCTTAGCAAGAGACTCTTCTTCTGCGAGTGCTGTTCCCTGTAGAATTCCCGTTTATGATCTCCATGCTTTACAGGGAGCAAACTTAACGGGAGGAGCTGCCTTTACCACAGAGCTGTTGCAGGGTAGTGCCGGGAACTTCCCGCAGCGGTTTCAGACCCCGAGGAGCCTGCTCTGTGCATCAGCAGCAGCGTGCCCGGAGCGGGTGGGTTACTTCCAGTGTAGCGCTCCCGAAACTGCTGCAGGCAGCTTGGGGACACCGGCTCAGGGGTTGGGTTCTGAAATGAAGGGCTGATGAGTACAGAGGGAGAAGGGAGAGGGCTTCAGGGGGAGTTCTGGTACCTAAAACTGGACGAAGCCCAAGTGCCTCATTTCAGGCAATGACAATGCAGTGCATGTAAAGAGTTGGCTCTCTTGAACTGGGCTGTGCAGGGGAATGTGCTCACTCCTGCGTTTTCAAGAGTCTTCTGTGTGTCAGCAGCAGTAGCCGGCATGTCCAGGGCTGTGTCTGTAGCCCCATCCCCTTCAGCACAGCGGTGGCAGCGCCCATCTCTGCAGGAAGAATGCAGCAGGTGAATAATTGATGAGGAACAGAGTGCTGCTTCAATCGGGAAGTGCCCTTCTCCCTGCATGGGAGGAGCAGCGGGCTGGGGCGCTGTCAGCTTGTGCCCAGACAGCCCAACAGTGAAGGCTGACCCACCTCCACCAGCTGGGGTCGTTTGGTGCCCGTTTTCCCCATCACACTGGCTCCGCACTGAATCGATCGCTCCTGTTTCGTCAAACAGTGAGAGAGGGGGTTATAAATCCTGGGATTCCTGCGTTCCAATTTAAGCTTGGTAGGGAACTGAAGTTCAGACTACAAATCCTTTTTGGTCCATCCTTTTCCAGCCCGATTGAGTAACGGTTTCAATGCTTGACAGCACTCTCTCTGTTGCCACTCCTTAGGTTTATCACCCAGCTCTTCTTCCACCCCCAGATAGCCTTGCTTTCCTTTCCTGGTCTCACAAAGCTCTTCACTTCTTCAAAGGCAGGCAATGAGATAAATTCTAGTGACTCAGACAGCATCTTTGTTGAAGGAGGAGCTGACTTTACCAACAGACATTAGTCTGCCATGTGTAAAACTCAGCATCAACTACCTGCTGCTCTACTTTTATGTTGTTAGTAGTTTATTTGGTTAGTATTCTGGGCACTGACATTGCCTGTGAAATGGAGTGGGGTTAAATCAATGAGAAGTGTGACTTGCTGGCACAGCACTGTGTATTTTGTACCTTTTTTTATCAGTTTAACTGGATTTGTCTCTGTCTCCTGAAGCATTCAAGGACTACTCATAAGGCATAAGGGAAGGGGAGTTGTAGGGTTCCTTTTTTCACAGCAGGTATTTTAGCATGTGAATATGTCTGTAAGGCACATTGAAATGTGCAAAGTTAAGGATCCATTCCTTCTCTGGGGAGTGCCTGTTTCACTGGGCTGAGCTATTGTGAGCTTTATCAAACAGGCATAAGTATGGGCATAACTAATGTACTCTTTCCAATTCTTTCTTGCAGCTCAGTGTGCTGCCATCCTTTGGGTTTCTTTTTGACATCGATGGTGTGCTGGTGCGAGGGAAGACTCCAATTCCTGCTTTTTAAAAACAGCCTTTCAGAAGCTAGTGAACTCTCAGGGACAATTCGTGGTGCCTGTGGTGTTTGTCACCAATGCAGGGAATTGCCTTCGCCAGGAAAAAGCTGGTCAGTTGTCACAGCTACTGGGAGTTCCAGTGAGTGCCTTCAATCCTATTCATTTAGTTAGTTACTTATGGTGAATGTTTCAAATGTATTATGTTCCATTAAACACTGCTCGGTTAAGCAGTTTCGGTTTTCCCTAAAGCTGCCTGATATGCTTTGCTGGAGGTGTTATAAAAGGAAAACACGTGAAGGCACTGCTTTTTCCAGTGGTAACGGTGTTTCGTTGCAATGCTATTACTGTGGGAATAAATCTTGCCTTCTCCTTCTGAAATAAAACCTGTGTGGGCCAGTACCATGAAGCACTGCTCTGGCAGGTGAGTGTCTAATGCCATGATGTGTGAGGCAGGAGCTTCCTGCCTGGTTTTGTTACAGGATGACAGAATGAACCTTAAAGAGCATTCCAGCGCCCAAGTTCATGAATGGTAAAACTTCATTCCCTGCTGATCTGTGGGCACTGCAGGCAATAGAACTTCTCCATCCATGGAGGCTGCTTGAGCACTGCTAAGAGAAAGCCATGAAGTGAGAAAGCCATGCAGTGCCTTTGGTTTTGGGAAGAGCCAGCAGATGTGGGCATGTCTGTACCCGTCAAACTCTGTGTCATGGGTAAAACAACATCTTGATGATTTGGGGAGTTTTAGATCTGTAAAAGTGAGAAGCAGTGATTCGTAACAGTGTCCTTCCAGGACGGTACTTATACTGGGTTTATTCCTCTTGAAGGAATGGGGATGTGTAAACTAAGAGAAGAAGGTCTGATACAACAAAATCAGCGCTGCAGCCGAGCGAAGCGACCACGACTGGAACTAGGGCAATTCTGAATCCTTCTCCCTGTTTGCTTTCTAAATGCATTTGGCAATCCTTTAAAACTAAGAGAGAAAACCTTGTGTTCTGGTCGAATGGAGTAATTCTGGAAGCTGAAAAGGGGGTATATGATGGTTTGTCAGTGATGATTTTTTTTCCTGGCATATTATAAACACATTGTGAGATTCAGGAGAGTATGCTATGGTTGGGCTTTATGTAGATCTGTGTGGTAGTTTGTAACTCATAGGCTTTGTCACAGCTGTTGATTACATCCACGTGTAAATAACTGATCTGGCAAACAACAAACTTCTCTTGTTTTGAAATCCCACACAGATTTCCCAGGACCAAGTGATGATGTCACACAGTCCTCTGCGGATGTTCAAACGGTACCATGACAAATGTGTTCTTGTGTCGGGACAAGGGCCTCTTCTTGATATTGCTCAAGAGTATCTTTATAAAACAAACCACAAAACCAACCCATCAACTCTCTGTTTAAGTATTTTCCTTAATCAAGGTCAGGAGGTCCTGTGGATCAGCAGTGGGAGTTCTTACTCTGATGTCAACTTAATGTTTTGAAAGTGGTTGTGTGTTGACATCTGCTTCATTTTGTTCTCTCTGGTTTTAATGAGCAAAGAAAAAAGAGAAATAATTTGTTTGGACTCATGTAAATGGCACTTCAGCACAATGGTCTCTGCTCTGCAGTGGGTGAGAGTGTGGCATTCTGTGTAGCATCATCACATCTGACTTGTAGTTCAGTGGCTCAAGACCTGCAGGTGAGCATGCAGCCAGGCCAGTCACAGCGGTTTTGTAACCAACATCTAGAGCAGAACTACACTTGAAAGTATTTTGTCACTTCTCCACTAACTGCCAAAAAGAACTTGCATTATGTTGATGTAATGGTGGTATCAAAGCTTCAAACTGTAAGTTAATGACCTTACCTTTTGTACAGTCTTCACTCATGCTTCTAGTAGCTCGCTTCTGCGCTTCTTTAATTAAAGTTAGTGCAATCATAAGTTGTAAAAAAACATCAATGCAGCTTCTAACTAACTGTTATTTCAAATACAAAGATGAGAAAAGGTTACTGGAGGAACGTACCAGTTTACTCAGAATTAGTTGGGCACAGCTAAGAGAAAAGTCTCTTACAAGCTGAACACAAAAGCTGTATTTCTGTTAGACAGCATTTTCATGGGGGATAATCTGATCTCACAATAACTTCACAAATGGCCTGTGGTGTTAGTTCCAGTACAAAATCAAGGGCTTCCTTTGTCTAACTGATACACTTCAATTGCTCTTACTTTCGTTTGCATTTTAAGACATTGTCGTTGTATTGAGACTAAATTTTTACTGCTTTTTACATAAATGAGCAGGTTTAGTTTGATTTCCTCCTGTTAACTAAGCTTAAATTAATGGGATATATCAGTATTTAAGAGTACTACTATGCACATCAGGAGGCTGTTGTTCTCCTTCTGGTCCTTTCCTGACGTGTTTCAGTTTTTATCTTCACTCCCTGTAGAGCACAATTAAACCTGATTATTTAGGCCACCATTTAGCAAGAGGCTGAGCTTTGTGGTGTTTGCTTACCTAGGGACATGCTTTCAGCTCTAACGGCCTGAGGAAAGCACATGTTGTGGGGACAGTATTGTTAACTCAAGTAGCTTATGTTTCTTTCCTGTAATAATTACACGAGATGCTGTCTTGCTGCCAGAGAAACTTCTTGTGCTTATGTGAAGATGATCTTGGAGTAGTGCAGGTGTAGAGTGGCTTCTTGCTTTTCATCTCATATTTTAAGAAAGATTTATGTATAATTTCTGTCATAAGATTCCAGATACACGGTATTATTTATCAATAATGGGATGATCATCTTTTTATCTCACAGAAGAAAAAGCCAGTCTTTATTTTGCTTTCATTCCTAAATAATATTCTTTACCAGATAAACTGCATATGTTAAAATTGTTAAAATGGAATTGCTGATTTTTAAACTCTTTTAATACAAGTGGTTCCGTATCCTTAACTGGCATTTCCCAGCCTTGGTTTCTGTCAACCTATTACCATTGAAACACTGCGGGAGAAACACCCTTTGCTGGATGTAGTTGACCATGACAGAAGACCTGATGTTCTGGTGAGTGCATATCTTTGTTTTCAAGTTCTTCGTTTGCTCATTAGATCACATTCTATAACAGGGGTCAATATTTAAACTACTGTGCTAATGCTGTTGTTTTTACGTTGTATTCTGATGTTGCTCTTCTCCTTCTGTATTTGTTTTATTGCATCATTTCCAAGAACATTTCTGTAGGCCTTTTTTCTCAGTGGTAATTCTTTAACATAACCTTTGATTTTGTGACTTTGTCATGGGGAAACTTACCATTTAGTACAGATACCTAAGTCAGATTCTGGCATGGAAAGCTTACTAGCTTGCTCTGGTGTGCGTAAGATAAAATAAGCTTTTTCCTTTAGTATAGGATTGTCTTGGTAGTGTTTCTAGGCTGCGAGGTTGCTTTGATTGTAAGTCAGTGCTTTGCAGATAACTAACTTTTCTCCAAAGTACTCCCTTTCTTGTTTGTACAGTTATTCAAATATATTTAAATATTACCAGTACCTACAGTGTGGCTTCAACTGGACTGTGCAGAGTTCAACAAGAGGTGAATACATCCTCAGTAAATACACGTGGGATATTGCACATGTTCAGGGTGGGTTTGCGGAGTGGGGTTTTCGATGTGAAGTCAGGAGGTCCTTTGTTGTTCACAGAATCTGTAACTCAGTTGTATCACCCTCTGCCTTGCTTCTCAGCCATGTGGATGTCAAAGATCAAGAAACTGTTATGTATTTGTCACTGTAGAGAGTAACTCATGAAGTGCAACCTCTTCTGTTTAGCAAGTGTGTGATGTGTAACAGAGCGTGTGGTTCGTTCTTAGCAGTGTTAAATACTCATTTTCAAATGCCTCATTAACACTGGAGGTCTCTTCCTCCTGTGGCAGAACAAACATCCATGCTTTGATACAGAAGTAAATTAAACAACTGAAGCTGTATAGCTTGCCAGAGACAGTTACAAGGATGTAGGAGGCTAGACGAACTTGTCTGCTGTTCCCTTGCCATGAGATTTCACTTCAGAGTTGAGATACAAGTTTCTAAGTAAACTGACTGTGGGGACATTCCTAGCAGAGACAGGAGGCCACGACTGCATGGAGCTGGTAGAAGAAGGCCCCAGAGGGAAAAGACGAACATGAACAAGAGTGAAACCAGAGCAAGGACGAAGAGAAGATGCCAAGTGAAGGGTTAACAGCTATATTACGTAGTGTCGCTCAGGCAGTAGTAGGTAGCAAATGAAATGTATAGTTTAAGGCACGAACAGATAAGAATGACCAATTAGTTGTAGCCAAGTGGAACCTTTCTGTCAGCAGAAGATATATAAACGCAGCTAGCAAATAAATTACGTCTTCGATCTTTCATCAGAGTCCGTGCCTTCATCCCCTCAACTGACCCCAGGTATATACTAAAATAGAGGGTGCATTTCCTGTCAGTGTTGCAGAGGGCAGCTGTGGGAGCTATACTTGAATTAATCCTGTTAAAAATAGTAGGAGATGTTTAATCTGGTAGAAAACTTTCACTTTTCTCTTATTGCAGTACCCCTCTGCTGTGGAGCTTCCCAAGATTGAGGGTCAGTTATCTTTATTTAACTTGCAACTATCCATTAATAGATGAAATATCTTTATTGTACTTTGTAATTGGGATTTATTTTTAGATTGCTGAGAATGTCAGAAAGTTGGCTGAGACAGCTGTGAAGTCTCCTTGGTAATGACATCTGTCATGGATTGCAGTGTATCACGTGTGACAGCTGTGGTTTTAATGTGTGCAGGTTTGAGCCATGTGGTTTTGACGTTTCAGAGGGTGGGTGAGGTCTGCTTTCCTCTTCATCTTCCCTTAACCGGCTGCTGTTGCCATCCTGTCACAACTGATTTTCTGTGTTCAGAAATAACAGGTCTTGTTCTTATAAGCAGTTGGGATGGTCACTTCAGAGCTGTAGTATGAGAAGCACCTTGTTTCAGCACACTGCATGCACTCTCCTCTGAATTACAGGGAAGTAGAAACTGGACTTCAGGATTTAATAGAATTCACGTCAGATGATGCTGGAGACCAGAAAAAATGCTGAAAAACTAGAGTCAAATTTTGTTCTAAGATGAGCAAAATAACATCTCTGATCTGTGTAAACACTGTGTGTAAAGACAGAATTCACAAAGGTCTGGAAGATGAGGAAATACCATGTAGAAGTTAATATTTTGTGGTGCTGTGGAGAAATTTAGCCAATTAAAAGGAGAAATTCTTAAACTGGTAGATTTTGCAGAGGAGGGTTGTTACTTCTGAGGTTTGCTGTGCAAAAATGGGTATGTCATGTAGTAAAACCTGAAGTTAAGTTAAATGTGACTGTTTCATCAGTTCATGGTTAAATTGCATTACTTGTTCTTTAGACCAAGATTTAGTGTCAGAGATGTGGTGCCCTGTTAACTAATTCCATAACTCTGTTCTGTAATTCTTGTTCTCACAGCTGTTATTTTGTTTGGGGAACCAGTCAAATGGGAGACCAACCTTCAGTTGATAATAGATGTTTTGCTGACAAGTGGCTACCCTGGAAATCCGTATCACCGTGAAAATTACCCCCACATTCCCGTGCTTGCCTGTAACATGGATCTGATGTGGGTAGCTGAAGCACAGTCTCCAAGGTAAGTGCACGTTGTAACATGAGTGTATATCGTGATGTGTTTGGGGTTTCCTCATATCTGCAGTAAAAATCAGAGTCAATTCTTTTATACAAAATACTTGCTGCAGCTCCACAGTTGGTCTCAGCACTGAAGACAGTGTCTCTAAAGCCATGCATGTTTAGCAAATGCTGCCTCATAGCTGTCCACATCATTGCACTTGGGAAATCAGTTACTCATGATAAAAGCTGCTTCTGAGCACTAAGCCATTTTGTTTCCCCACTCCCAGAAGACAGGCTTTTGCCCATGGGCCTCAGTGTCTCACTTCAAGGGAGAAAATGAAACAAATATCAAGGCCATTGTCTCATTTCATTAGGTCCGTCTTTGGTATTTCTCCTTTCCACCCCACATTTTCTGGTAGGGTAAAGAATTGCCCCTGCTGGTTGAAAGCAGTGAGTAGTTTTTAGCTGAGGACAAAATAGCGAGCTCTTTAAGGAACACAGGAAGAAACAAGTAGAACACACAGAAGTAGGTGGCATGATCTCTGATAGCGGTTTTGTTTGATTTTGTTTTCAATAGAGTGTGTTCTTTCAATGAATAGAAGTTCTTCAGTAGTTCTGTTCTCCCCCCAGTCAAAATTTGAATATATACGGAAATAGAAATTGTTAGTGTGACTTGAGTGTTGCCTTGATCTTGGGTTGAGGATCTTGTCAGCTGTCCTTGCTGGATGCAAAGACCATCTCTGGTTAGCACGCTGGTAAAAGACAGATATGTGATGTTTTCAGGCTAGAGTAAGGCAACCTTTGTATCTACAGTGCACCAGATTTGTGGGTTTGGTTGTGTCCCTTGGGAAAGATCCCGTATAAAGTTGGGGTTTTTTCCTCTTTGAGTCTGACAGTATGACAAGGTTGCATCTGTCAGAGCTGTTACCTTTACTACTGGAATATAATGCCATGACTAAGCTGGTTTTAGCTTTTGCTAATAATTACTGGAAATAATTTTATGCTCATTTGTTGGTATTTCATAATAATAATATAAAACAACAAACAGGGTGGAGAGGGGGAATGAAGGGTTAATTCAGAAAAGCTGATTCTGTACCCCAAACAAAAGTGCTGCAGTCGCTTCCTCCTATGTAGCTTTTTTCCTTAAAAGACAATTTTGATTTCTAGGCCACTAGAGACTTAATTCCTATAGTAGTGCACCTCATACATCTCTACGGGCTTCTGATGCTCATTGTATTGGTGGGTTTGGGTATTTTTTAGGCTGTAGGTACTGGTTTGAGAAGATATACTAATCTATGTGCATTAGAAGTTACCTCGCAGCTCTTCCAAAGCAGTATGTGTAATTTATTGTGTATGGAATTGTTGTATAGTAACTTTCTATTCTTCTTAGGGTCCTTTTGGTAATTTGATATTCTCAAGTGATGTGTATTAGTTCATCCCTAATTCCTGAAATAGTGTTTTACTAGTAGTGAAGTAAAACTGCTTTTTTTCATCATGAGATTACATCTTCTAAATTACTGATTTACTGGCTTGGATGATGACCCATCGTCACTGTTTGCACCTTGATCAAAATAACTGGGTTATCCAAAGTGTGCTGTAAAATTACAGTTTGTTCCTTGATCCTCCTTTGCATCCGTCGTTTTAGAGACATCCATGAAGTTGGGATTTTTATTTCCATATTACCAGAGGGTTTTGGTATACTCTTGTTTTTAAGGAGAGATCGATTTTCCTTCTGTCTGATTCTATCCTTCCTTTTCTGTTTCTCCTCTTTGTTGATGTAGGTGATTCTGCTCGGTCACTGCAGATAAGTCTGTTGTGCTGCCCCAATAACCTGGTTTTGTTGTGGTGTTCATTGTTTAGTTAATAAGCTAAACTTAATTTTCAGTGAAACAGCTCTGGAAATGCTGCATGGAAACTGAGGGAGATTTGATAGTTACAGGGTGTGATTTATTCCTAAAAGATGATGAAATAAAAAAGACATTCTTTATATATGTGGTTTTTTGATCTGTACTTAATATCATTTGATTTGTCTGGGCAGGTTTGGGCATGGAACATTCATGGTTTGTTTGGAAAACATTTACAAGAAGATCACTGGCAAAGATCTGAAATACGAGGCCCTCATGGGCAAACCCAGTAAAGTGACCTACCAGTATGCGGAATACCTCATCCGGGCCCAGGCAGCAGAAAGGCAGTGGCAGCATCCCATTCTCACCCTGTATGCTGTCGGGTAAGGCACCCCGAGCACAACCAGTACAGCAGCAAATCACTCGCAACAGGAATACCAGCAAAGATCCACAACTTGTACTAGTTTGTTTCTCATACCACTGGGGCCACTAACATCATTAGTGCTATGTGTACTTTTTACAATGCTTTTGAGCCTCAGTGTTTCTAATCTTGAAGATGAACAAGACTTTGCTCTTTCTATGTGTAATTTCTGTAGAAGCACAAAAAGTGGTTTCTATGCAACTAAGATTTCTCCTGATTCCCCTCCCCACCACCAAGAGGCTGTGTAAAGCTAGCAAAAAGGATTTGCATGTGTGTTTTTTATTAGGTTTACTGGTAAATGACAGTTATTAGAGAATGTAGAGCTAGAATTTGTGAGGTCATTAAGCTTGGTCATACATTACTGTGTGTGCTGTCCCATCACAGAATCCTTTTCATAGATAGGGATAAAGCTGTATTGTATTAAAGACTGCTCCAGAACCTCCAAGATGACTGGAAATATAATAAGCTCATTCATAGACTGCAAATACTTATCCTTGATTTCTCCTCCCCCTGCTCCAAACTGAAATTTCACTAGGCAGTTATGCTTAATGAAAGTTGTGTAATAAAATAGCTATAGGATTGGGTTTCTCTCTGTCTGCGTACTCGCACATGAAGTTATGTGAAGTATAAAATAAACTGTTAAACCAAAACTGCATAAATGTTCTTCAGACACTGAAATTTGACAACTCAGATTGCTCTGCTGACTGAACTGTTTCTTCTGTTTCCAGAGATAATCTCATGACTGATGTCTATGGTGCTAACCTTTACAATCGCTATCTTGAAGAGAACTCCAGACAAGGTTCAAAATCCCGGGTTCAGGCCAAAGTTGCTGGTGGCAGAGGACCTGCCGCGCTCTCTCAGGATGATGAGCTAGACAACGGTTGGGAGAATGAGTTAGCGTCTGCAGCTGCTGCCCACTGTAGGTCAGTTCTTGTTTGCACCGGGGTTTACAACCCGCACACCGAGGCGCCCTTGGACACCAGGGCGAGCATCACTGAAACAGTGTTCCATGGCCACAGAGATTTCAGATTTGAGCCTGGTTTAGTAGAACCAGATCATATCGTACCAGACGTTGATGCTGCTGTAGACCTGGTCTTCCAGTTGGAGAACTTTGCACCTAATCGAAATGACACGATTTCTTAAAGACTACTCAGTGCTGTGCTTCCCAAAAACCAAATTGTGCTTTAAAATCATGCCACAAACTGCTGCTTTCTAAAATTTTTATGGTTTACATTAATACAATCTTATATTATGTATACTTAATATACTTTGGTATATTAATTTGCTTAATATAAGTATATTAAATATCAACAATGCTTTTTAAAGTACTTCAAAATATGTCATTTCTTGCTTTAGTTGCCTTTTATTTTCTTCCTTTTCATTGTATTAGGTATTTTAATAGCAATTTCTCATAGTAGCTTGTGCTTGTTACTGGTGTCTCAATTCCCACATGACAGTATCTTCTGTTTGCTGGAAGATACAGCTTCCAGGAATCGGGGATCTTGAGGGTATTGGCCTGTGGGGCTGGGGTTGTTCACTCCATTACAAACTGGCAGGTACAGAGCACATGTATTGCCACTTGGGGTTCTGCAGGTAATGAGTACTTTTTGCAATTAGAGCAATGTCAGGTCTGTTCTGCTGCTTTGTACTTGCTCACATACAGCCCCACAGCCTTTCTTTTTACCTGTTGTCCCATGTGTCTGGAACTGCTACAGCTTCTCCCTACTCTAACATATGAAGCCTTAATGGAAATGCTCTTGTAAGATGGAGAAGGCAGACTTGTCAACACCAGTTTTGGAACTCCCAACTAAGCTGAACACAGTCATGTAAGGAAAGCAGCTTACACTGGTGGCTTGCGTGGCATAATACCTGGCCTTTTGTCCTTGCCTTTTTATCTGCACTTTCAGGAATTCAGGATTTTGGAAAGCTTTAGCAATTATGTTTCAGGCATTTCTGTCAGTTGGACTTCTCCATGGAATGAGTGACTACTGTTCGGGTTAAAAGTGCCTACTAACTTACTTGAAGCTTCATACCACTGTGGTAATTACCTGGCCTTTAGTGTAATATGTTTTGTCTTGTGTCAGTGTTACATGTTGGTTGGTTCATGAATTTTATAGCAGTTCATTTAAAAAAAAAAAAAAGTAATTTGTTATTTTTGTAAAATACTTTTAAACATTTTAAACCAAAAGATGTCTTTGAAAATATGTGTGTTAATATGTTATAGCACAGTTATGTACTTGTGACATAAGGCAAGAAAACGAAGCCAGTTAAGTGTGTTTTAAAAACAAGGTCAACTTACACACAAGTATCACTTAACTTTGGGGTGTGTCAGACTTCTATGGTTGGTTTTACTTTGTTTTCTTGTTTATTTTTTCCCAAATTAGAAATTGTACAAACAGAAATCTGTGGGTCTTCGTTTTTCCCAAGTTCTTACAGAACTAGCAATTGGTAACTGGATGGTGGCATAAAGTGACATGACTTCCTGGCCAACTTCTTCACTGCTTATTGTCCTGATATCCAAGAGTGTGAAAACTCACGTCATGAAGAGAACACTGCTGCTATGGAGTCCGATTTCCTTGTTGTGTTTTCTCCATCTGTAAACCACCATAATCCCTCTGTCTACCATCAGGACTGTTGGTTGATTTACTCACAATATTTCACAAGTAGCTTTTAATGTATCTTGCTGGATCCAGTTTAAGGCCACTGCTTTAAACAATGTTTTTCCCATTCCTTCACTGGGAAAGTATTACAGCAGCACATTCTTGCCTTTTTTATTGGTACAATAAACAGGTATATTGCTATTTCTGCAGCACTCTCCTGTAACGCGCCAGCTGTTTGTGAGGTATGCCAACTCTTTCTGAGTGAAGGCTGTAGTCCTGTAAAATGCCAGGATGACATGTTGTGTTGGTTCAGTGCTGAAGCATGTTGCAGAGCTCTTCAGCTGTTGCCAGAAGTGGTTTCAGGCTGTCCGTGATGGAAGGAATAAAAAAGTGGAAGTTGATGAACAGAAAATGTTCAGTTTCTTTCTTCTTCTCGCCATCCTCCAAATCATAGAATAGTTAGAGTTGGAAAAGACCTTAAGATCATCCAGTTCCAACCCCCTGCCATGGGCAGGGATGCCTCACCCTAGGCCATGTTGCCCAAGGCTCTGCTCAACCTGGCCTTGAACACTGCCAGGGATGGAGCATTCACAGCTTCCCTGGGCACCCTGTGCCAGCGCCTCAGCACCCTCACAGGAAAGAACTTCTTCCTTATATCTAACCTGAACTTCCCCTGTTTCAGTTTGAACCCATCACCCCTTGTCCTGTCACTACAGTCCTCAATGAAGAGGTCCTCTCCAGCATCCTTGTAGCCCCCTTCAGACCCTGGAAGCTGTTCTGAGGTCTCCAGCATCTTCTCTTCTCCAGGCTGAACAGCTCCAACTTCCTCAGCCTGTCTCCATATGGGAGGTGCTCCAGCCCCTGATCATCCTTGTGGCCTCCTCTGGGCTTGCTCCAACAGCTCCATGTCCTTCTTCTGGTAGGGACACCAGACCTGCACACAGTGCTTCGAGTGGGGTCTCATGAGAGCAGAGCAGAGGGGCAGGATCACCTCCTTTGACTTGCAAATATGCATGAACACTTCAGAAGGTCCATGGAGGAACTGTGTACACACTTACTAAACTTCCTCCCTCACGGGAGCGTTCTGTAGTGCCTGTGTCCAACACCCCACGGGTTGGCTGCTAATCAGGCTGCTGCTGGTTTTTGACTGCAGGAAGACAGTTCTTAGGCTCTATCCCCGTTGGACCTCTCAAGCTGTGCCAGCGGTGCAGGGGTGTAGATGTTGCCCGATGAGTCCGCTTGAGCTGTCATTACCATGGCCCTTTGTGCGGTGTGTGACCGAGTGCCGGCGGCGTGCCGCGTCCGCGCGGGCCGGGTCTCCTGCCACAGCCGGGGGACAAAGGTGTGTCAGGTATATGGGTATTACCGTGCAGCACGAAGGAGAAACACTAGTGGAGTAGACGCGAGTGGTGCAGCAGTGAGCGAGGCACAGGTTCTGGTGGCAGAAGACGCTGTGTGGTTCTCTGCGGCTCGGTGAAGGCTGCAGCAGGTTCACCTCAACCCGGCACGGGCCGCCGCGGGGGGCGCCCTCCGCCATCTTGGCTTCACCTCAGCGTGGCTGCCCGAGGCAGCGGGAAGGAGAAAGCTGGGGCCCCCTCCTCGTCTGCCCCTTCCCTCGCGCTCTCTTTTGTCTGTTTTTTTTAATCTATTTATTTATCTATTTTTAAATTTTCCATAGCACAGAAGTAGGAAAGTGCAAAAACGTCGCCAGCACACAGTGCTCCAAGGCTCAGGGTGTTTCAAGTTCTCCAACTCCGTGGACTGAACTCCCGCTCGGTAAGTGCTAAAATGGGCTTGGAGCCACTCAAAAAGCCAAATGCTGAATAAAAATAGCAGGTGAGAGCCTTCATTCACAATTTTAGCTTCCCCTTGTTCGGGTTTTGAACAAGCACAGAGCACTTGGTAGGTGTTTCCTGTCAGTAACTGGGAAATTGTGCCCAGCTTTCAGAGATGGCACCGTTTGGTGCTCTCGAAGCCCCCCCCCCAGCTGCTGGGAAGGATGTGTTTACCCCCGAGTTTTGCTGTAGATGGTTTCAGATGAATCCAAAACACGCAGTTTTGGTAAGACCTATGTTTTATGTTTGGTGTTTGTGTGTTTCTTGAAACTGACAATCCTTTGGGCTTTCTTCAGCAAGAAAATAAGCAAATGTGGCATGGAAGTGTCTCAGTGGTTTCTGTGAGGGGTTTCTGTAACATGTGGAGAGGACACACAGCTGAAAGGCTCTGGAGCAGTTGGGGTTTGTTCTGTCGGTGGACGGATGGACTCACAGAGGCAGATCCTGTACCATGGCCATGCGTCCTTTCAGAGCTTAGTATTGGCTCTTTGTCAGCTGTTTGTTGTTCAGAAAGTGTTTCTGGGTGATGGATGGAAAGGAGGAATACTAACAACATGATTCCCAGAAACACTGGGCTGAACTTTTCCAGTGTAAGTTATTCTCGTTCCCAACAGTTAGGACTGACTCTTAATTGAGTCCATTCAGAGGGCAGCTTCAAGCACAATACCTGTATGTAGTCCCACCAGGGCATCCCTGTTTGTAATGATTTGATAAAGTTTTGTATGAGGTGTAAATACATTTGAAATTAATGTATATATATTGCTTTAAATGACAAGAGTTGCACAGGCAGCTGAAAGCTTGTGAAGTGGCCCAGACCTCTGGCTGACTTAGCTTTCCGCATTGCCTGTGCTGTGTGCTGGTTAAAAGCAAGAATACCCTGTTGTTACGTCAAGTGTAGTGTAGCTATTTTGTGCCCCCCACCTAGTCTCACCAGGGCTTAAAGAAAGATAGAAATAGTGACCTGAATAAAGGTACACACAGAAGACTGTTGCTCAAAGAGGTGGAAATCTCTTTCCTTCAGTGTCATAAGCAATGATTAGACGAGTTTCTTTAAAATTCAGTGGTGTGCTTGTATGTTCTGCAACTTGAACAGAAATGGGTGCTAACAGTATTGTATGGTATTGCTGCATATCCTACACAGTCTGTATTAAAGCCTTTTGTCTATACAAAGATGAATTCTTGGGTGATGAAATACATCCTTGTTTCAGCACTTACTAAAACAGCCTCAGTTTCAGAAGAGTGTTTCTGTGGTCACCTCTGTGAGCACAATAAATTAGTACATAGCCAAAACAGCACAGATGGGTTTACTTTGTTTAATTAAGACCACCTGAGACTCAACTGCTCTTAACTAAAAGTTCTTCTCCTTTTATTTTACTGGTCTTGTATGCCAAGCTGAGAATGCAGTGTAGAGTCTAAGGTCATGCTAAACGTGTCTTACATCCGAATGCCCAGCAAGGTTTGCTGCAGATTTGTCTGTTGATCTCTTTCTGAACCAGAAGCAGCACCTGTTGTATAGGTAAGAGTGTTTCTCAGAATAAGAAATGAATTTTCAATAGGACTTGGTTCTCATCTTGTTTTGTGGAGGTGTGTCTCTGAATATCCTTTCTGCTAGTTTTGTTTTGGTCTCAGTGTGTGGGGTTTTTTCCCTCTGCATAACGTTTTGTGACTGGTTTAGCCTGTTTGCATTTTCAAGGGTGCACGAGGGTGT